GAGATCTGGAATTCATATCTGTTGGCACCGGCACAAACTCTGTACGTGGTCTGACAATAAAGTTCGCAAACTCATCATTGCTGAACAATACTTCTGTTACCTTCAAAGTACTCCACTTGGGAAACTATGCATCGATGCCAGCGCCTACTTCACCCTTCAGAACAAATTTGGAATTGGTTTTGTGGAATGTCCTGATGTTATCAATATCATTAAAATGCCATCCTATCAACATTTCCTTTATCTTGGGGAACAGAAGAAAGTCACTGGGGGCTAGATCCGGTGAATAGGGAGGGTGTTCCAGCACAGTTATTTGTTTACCAGCTAAAAACTCCCTCACAGACAGTTGCTCTAATTCAAGCTCCGACATTCTCATGGCGGCACCTCAAAACACACTCAGACAACAATAGACGCCTCTCAGAAAGTAACTGCCATAGATCAACAACAACACAGCTGTGAAACTCTGATATGCCAACGTCATCAAACCATACTGAGGTTTCTGTCCACTGCTGCCACGGCAAGCAGATGATGGCGAGTTCGCAACTTTGTTGTTATACTTTGTATATACACGGTTAAAATGTGTACGCTGGCTTCATGAAATGAACAGTAGATATATTTTGCCAGTACTGAAACCGATTCTAAGATTTTATGACAAATATAATATAAACCTTAGGTATTAGAAATACAGCGCACCGAACTGTCAAGGACGTAAAGCAAGTTATTTCTGTCATAGTGAGAATTCGATAAAGAACGACAGTCACTTTATATCCTCGTTTCTGAACTACAGAATATTCTTGCAATGTTTTATGATCAGCAGAGCACTTAGAGACAGGCTGGAACAACAGTAAATTCTACAGATGCAAATGACAACAGTTCATGAGATCCTGACCCCTGTGGTTCTTGCGGTGCTTTGCAGCGGAGGCAGAAGCATGCAACAGCCACCTCGGGAAACCTCACAGCAGACACAGAAATTATGTTCACAGCACATCTCATTGGGTTTAGCCAATTTACATGTCTAAGCTGTATCCGCTAGTTACGGTTCGAATCCCGACCTGCATACATGACATCGTGGCAGGTTTCTCTTGCGAAACCTTGCCTGTTCCGGCTTCTTCATTAATATTTCCCTTTTCAGCCTCAATCAGTGACATAGCCGTGAGTGGTCTTCTAGATTGTAACGCTGTATAGTACTGTTGACAGAAATCAACGTTTCGGACGGCCATACTACTTCCATCTTCAGGATGAAGCCTGATGCACTTAAATTAAATTCGCTTAGTGAGGAGTGGAGTCCAGCTGGGTCCACTCGGGCCGGGCCGTCGCGATGGGAGGCCAGCGACACATACTCGAGGGAGATCTGAACAAGCTATTGCAGTGCGTCCACGCTACAGCGCGACAGCTAAGCTCGGCATGTGAACTTCCTATATAGGCCATCTGCTCATACTTCTTTAATTAATCGTCGGATGCTTGGCTGTAGGCCGTTCTGCATTTCAATTTCACGATCAGTCTTATTCAGATAGGAAAATAGAAGCCAAAATGCGCACACGCGTTAACGCACTTAACTGCGTTGTAGGTTATTTGTCGACGAAGTTTCAACTCCAGAAGTTATTAAAAGTTTAACAAGATTGGAAGGAAGGAGCAGGAATGAGTCATGCCATATTTCCAACTACCATTCTGCATTCACCTGTAAGAACCATGGAAAACATCAAAAATCAGTTAATTAGTATGTCACGTCAGAGAGTCGAAACACCTACCTCCAGAACCGAGATCTAGCGTTTTATTGTTCGTGGATTGTGTATTTCTTCCTCTAAGTAGCATATATATATATATATATATGGCCGGTCACAGTAGCTGCGAGGTCTAAGTCATGAACTGTCTTTACTCTCTCCGAAGTCGGGACCGAGGGTTGGATGTTTGGTGTGTGTATGAGTTTATTTTGTGTTTGTGTTGTCCTGTGTTTATGTAGCGGCCTTGCGACAGGCTGATCATTCGTCCAGTGAGTCCTGCCGCCTGTATAATAAGGTTACGGAACTGAAAAAGAGGTCAGGGCCCTGAATGGGCTGGAAGAGCTATTGAAAAATACATAAATATTAGGGTAAGTTGTTCTTGATTTGGCCATGAGGTAACAAGGATTGACAGAGTTCTCAGTATGCAAGAAACCATGAAAAAATCTCATACCGTTGTAAAGAGTTCACATTAAACTTCCAGACAATAAGCATACACCGAATCTCATACTCCGTCCCAATTAGGATCAAAACTGTTCGTTTCCTCCTTGTCGCATTGCCGTGGCGTTCCTTCCTTCGGTTTATGCAATCAGAGGCGCTTCCGAGATCGCTCTTCAAACATTATTCACAAATTTTATAGTTATATAATTTGATTCAATTTATTATTGAATTGAGTATCTAAATATTGTTTTTTATATAATAACTTCATCATGTTTACGATCGGAATACTTGCGGTCTTGTGACACGTTTCTCCGGTGACGTCCAGCATTCGGATGAATGTACAAAACCAAGAAACGTGTAGCCATTAGCGTAGATATTTTTAGCAAGACTTCCTTCTGGCATTCCCACAAAAGTAGTGAACAGGGTTGTTGACATTTACGTCTTTTTATATTAATATTGTGACGTGCCGCCTAAAAGCCGAAATATCGAAGTCGGAAAACAACAAGACGTCCATTACTGGGAAAAGGCTCAATGAGAGTTATTCCCGCGACAGCCAGTGCGCTAGAGATGGAATCGGCGTGCTGTCTGGGAATGAAAGCACGTTCCTAAGACAACGCGGACGTGGCCAGTACGCTGGATGCCGTTACATCGGAGACGCGAAATACTGGTAGAACCCTTCGAGAAGGTATGCTCTAGACTGTCCGACAAACAAAGATAACAAAGGACAGAAGACTCAGTCAGACCGTCTCAAATTTGAGACAGTAATATATGGACTCGGACCCGAGAAAGACTGCGCTTTCAAAGGCCAGTAGCATATACAAAAGACAGACCCGTCCTCTCGTCAGAGAGGGCGCCCACAAACAAAAGCAAACAAGACCGTAACTGTCAAACAGTAACAAAGATCTGGTCGTAAGCCCCAGATGGGTGCTTTATGCCAAGACAGACTGGCCGACTGACCGTCGGTCGTAAAATGAGACTCAGACTCAGTCAGCAGAGGACAGTTCCGGTGGCTACAACAAGGAGAGTGAATACAGACTCCGACAGTTGAATACAGACCAGAGAAGCAGAACTTCAAGAACCAATCAGACAGAGCGGACAGTGAGAACAATGAGAGATCAGTTCTCAAGAAGGGGTTCAACGTGTGAACTGTGGAAATCCACCGTAACTGTAATTGAAATATCCAATAAATTCATAGATCAAATCTAGAATCCACAATTATTAGTCACGAGTACACTCCTAAACGTGACAATTTTATCGCTTACTTCACATCCCATACTGCAGCCTAAACATCTTCTGGAACACTGCACTTTTATATGTCGTTTCTTTTTGAATGTAAATGTTCATATTGTATTCACGAATTTCTAACGTTTCCATTAAAACCTTGCGTGCTAGTGGGCCTGTTACTCTCTTTGCTGGTGCATTTTTATTCCTTGCCTCATTTCTACATTTCTGAAAAAGCAAACACAATATTCCATTCTACAATGGAGTAGCTGTTAGCGTCAGATCCATATTTAAAGAGCAGCGTGATTGCAAATTATAATGCAAATGCGAGGAGACAAAATGTCGGAACACGATTCGCAGTTTGGATGGAGCAAAACTGCATTTAGCAGAACAACTGTGGCGAAAGCCTTTCCAAAAGAAGTCTGTTATATCCCTCAGGTGGAGCAACTGTGTTGCAGTGTCAAGCGGTAATTTACTCCACTGGTTACGGATTTCTGCAACTCTGATGAGCAGTACATTCAAGTGGCTCAGGACAGGACGAAGTGTCAAGCTCGTAAGAGACTTCGGGTTCCAAAAACGTGGGAAATGTCTTGACTAATTGCGGACTATTGGGCTCTCAAGGAGGGCCCTGCTGGGTGTAGCATGCTTTCCTTATTTTGAAACAAATTCTGGGAATAACTAATCAGCTATTTTCTTTTAACACAACACTGACTGCATAGAAAACGAGACCTCCAACAATTCCTTGTTGCCGCTGTCATGCGTTTACCGAGCCGTTGCCTAACAACGTTAGCGAGGGATGCTCACACAGACTGATGAGAGGGATTTTTTTAAGGCCGCCGTTAAGCTGGCCTCAAATGCCATGCTGTACATACCAAGTTTAATAAAGACTGGTTCAGGGGTTCAAACGTTGATAGCGGGGAGGTACACGTATAGAGACACACATACAGACTGCAAGTTGCTATCACAAGCCCACTTTTATTTTTCCAAAATAAGGAAAGTAGGCTGATTTTTTGAAAAGAAGAAATGTATGCTAAACATGAAAGGAGGATTATGAGATCACATTGTTTTCTGCCTGTGTGCCCCCTTAAATTTTAGAAAGCTCTAAAGGCCACCTTACTGTCTGTGTGCCTGTGTGTTCCCCAACAGTTGCTATGCAACGGACCATTTCTAGTAATTATTATCTAATAATATTATTTATCTGTGTCCCTAATTGTTTCCTTTGCTTTTCGGTCAGTGGTGTATCACTGGAAATCAGACGGTTACGTGTTTCCAGAACTTGTAGCTAGCTATGAAAGTCTGATGCATAGTTACACACGTAATTAGTGTAATCCCAGTGAGAGGTTCTATATCACCTGCAATAAGCAACTTGTTGTGTTGGAACTGCCTTCCTGCGCAATATACCGTACTGAAAATTAGTTCTGGGTAATAAAAGGGCTGAATTGGAATAGAGGAGAAGTTTCTGCAGAATTTTGACCCTTAACACCGAATGTTATTTCTTCAGAATGGGTATCCGCTAAGAACACTGCTATATGCATTTCCCAGCCACTGTTTCGCTCGACCCAGTCTGCGGCCAGACAGTCTCTCTCTTCACGATTAAATAAAAATTTCCTGCCTTTTTCTTACCGAGATGCGCCGCCCATGTTGGAATGGAGTCGATCACCAATAAGTGACTTCGAAAGGATGAAGAGCGTTCGAGAGAGAAAAAACCGAAGAACTTTTTCAAGTTCTAAAGGAAATTTCTCTCGGTTCGAATTCGTGGAAAGTGTAATCTGAAGTTGGAAAGAGTCGCAGCGCCATTTGTTCGTTAGTAGCTTCGTCTGTTGGTTTTATGGCTCCGTGTGAGGGTCCATCCCACTTGCTTTTTACTCCATGGGAATTTTACCAGCAACTGATGGTGTTATAAACTTTACACAAACACACTCAATCGCGTCTCTTGCAGCTGTAACAAAACCGCCGGGAAGAGTGGCACAGACCAACTAACCCACAAATCCACTACACTCAGGGATATACACACACATGATCTTATCACACACACGGTAACATCTTGCAGTCGAAAGAGACAGAATTCGCTACAGAAATGGATGGTTTTGTGGGACCACGCACTGCGTGTCCTTCACTTACCGGCTCCGAGGTGCAGACTGTAGAAGTGTCTGCCTCTTGTTGGATGGAAGCACCAGTAGGATGAGCTAAATATAACGGGTGAGTCGGATCACATCACATGGAGCTGCTGGCGAGCCTGCAACAAAACAGAGCCATCTATACAGTCGCAAGTCAGGTCATTATACTGCAGCCCATTGATCCTATTGTACCCTGCAGAAACTGCGCCACCCCACACACGAAATGGTCCTGCCGTGTCCTTTGGAATTGTAACCGAAATGAACACGAAATTTCGAGGTAAAGCATAACGCCAACCAAATAACTCCACTGGGCTGAGCCCTTCTTAGGAAATCGACAGTCGCTCAGCTACTCAAGAATTTCCGTACATTTTAAGGAACCCGAAGATTCATTACCGTGCTCACAAGAGCCCTTCACTGGTCCCTATTCTGAGCCAGATGAATCCAACCCACAATATCCCATTCCATTTCTCTAAGATCCATTTTAATACTATCTCCCCACATACGTCTAGGTCTTCCTTGTGGTCTCTTTCCTTCTGCCCTTCCCACAAAAATACTATATGCCTTCTCCTCCTCCCCCGTGCGTGCTGCATGCTTTGTCCATCTTATCCTAGCTTCTTAATTTATATAGGAATGCTGATACTGTCAGGGTGGGGACGGTGAACTGTGGAAGGGCACAATGGCGTAAACATGAGCTTTGGGTGTAACTATACATAACGATACTGCTATCAAAAGATACCTCAAATCGTCACGTTTGAAGACAGAAAAGGATATGAGAGGGAAACACTAAGAAGGATATGTTGCAAAGTGGGCGGAGCTGACTACTGTCCATGTCCAATGTTCTGTTACCAGAGAAGTACATGAGAGTTGAATATATACATTCACGAAAATTTTGGGTCTCAAGATATGAACCTGATGTCTTTCCGATGCAAGCTAAACGGTTTAGCAGTGATTTGTATCTCCTTCTGACACCTACGGGTTACACATAATTTGGAGAAGACACGTTACGGATTCAAATGAGTACTTACTTACACTGCCGTTACTCTATATTACAAATGAATTTGGTTACAAGGAAAGAGTGTGCCTAGGGCCTAGCGATACCTAGTCACATATTTACATATGCGCCCGTACAGTTACTGCGCACGAAGTGTGTTTATGTTGAATTCTCGGTAAAATAAGAGTGACTTGGTAGTGATGAAGTGCTATCACTTGAATTACTGCTGGCTCTGTATATATCCCTTTCTATGCGGTACATGTAGTGTCAAAGAAAAGCAGGCGATTATGTCTTCCCAGAACTTCTTCTGTATATTGTCACAATTTTGGAGCGACTATAGACGTAGTTTGGATTAGAAATCGGTTTTATTGAACAATTACAGAACGCAAATGTAAATAACTACGACAGCTTCGCTGAGTTACACACTCCAATGATCATTCTAAGTACAGCAAGTATAAAGCCTTCTGAGTCTGCTGTGCCTTCATCAGTCGTTGCCTGGTGACGGAATCCAACTATGTCCTCTGCCTCCGGGCTCACGTTGGCGACTGTATTACAACTAACTCATTGCTCTAACTGTCGAATCTCAAAGTCAAAGTCACATTGCGACTGACGGTCAGTCAGTAAGTCTTGGTGTCGAGCCCAATCTGGGGTAGGTCTTGTTTTTGTGGGGTGCCTTCCCTGACGAGAGGACGGACATGTATTTTGTATATGCTGCTGGCCCTTTCCAGCGCAGTATTTCTTGGGCCCGGGTTCCTTTGGACTCACGACCATATTTTACTCTCTCAGATTTGAGACTTTCCTTTTCGTCGCCTGCTACTACTGTCAGGGTCACGGTGGAGGTATTTGACCCCGCCTCCACACGTGCTGTCGAGTCTCAACTAACTCTCCTGCTTATTACATCTGGGCAAGGAAAAGCACAGAAAACACAGTTCCTCTGTTGCAGTTTCCAAATGTTGCCATAGAAATATGCTTGTTTGCGCAGCCGTTACTCAGTAGCGGCTGTTATACAGTCGTTCTTTTTTCGCGGATGTTCCGTAGCAACGAGTCTACATGCCACAACATTAACATGACGAAATATTGTGTTAGGTAAATCTTTGGGTATATAAAGCACATAACAAGAGTTTTCATTCGTAACATCAGCCTCACATTCATGTGATGAACCCTGTTCTACAAACGAGATGATGATGACCGAGCCACACAAATGTAAAAGTTTCATTTTATGCCGTGGAAATGCCACTACCTGCTTCAACTTGGTCCAGTCGCTGCTTCATAATCATTTTACCTGAAGAAGGAAGCATGAAGGAGGATACGAAATCTACATGCCTGTCCCGTTCCTTTCATTCTAAATACACGTAATTTGGTTTCACATGACCTACTGGGAGGGTGGAGGGGCAAAAGGAGATGCTAGTCCAATGAATGATCCGGTTAAGTTGAGTAGAGTTGGCAAGATGTCATTTATGAGACAGACTGTAATTGCAAACGGATTTTTAGATGAAACCCCACAGTTCGGAGACAGGCGTAAATGGGAGTGAAATATTAAAACAGAAAAGAAATGTGTGTACGAGGGTTTGAGCTGGATTCAGCTTCATGGTGCGAGAGTCCAGTGGCGGGCTACTGTGAGCACGGTAATGACCTCTGAGGTTCCACAGAAGGCAAGGAATTTCCTGACTGGAGACACAGCCACTGCCCTGAAGAAGGACTGCACTGTATACAGTTAATAATTTAGTTCCTTAATATAACAGTTCCACGTGTTCTGCTGTTTAATGCAGCATGTCTGTGTAACTTATTTTATATCTTAATAAATCCTATCTGCATTATCAACGCACAGGTTATTAAAATTTCAGCGTGCTTGGAATTTGAAACGCTGAAGTAAAGGTACTTCTGTAACTTAATGAAAGTTACACGGAAACAGTCTCTGTAGGCCATACGGCAGTGCACGGCGTACAATTAATATCGAGGGTACAAGTTAATATATTTTTTATTATCTGCTAAGTATACTCAGAGGGGCACTGTTGCATGAAACTGTATCTTGGCTCTAAACTTTGTCTTATACATCAAAGGGTCATGATGCTACTAAAACCGTTCTTCCATGCCTACAGATCATTAACAATCCTGATTACAGGGAATGATATTTCGGTATAATTATTGATACACTCTGGGGGATTTTAATTTAACAGAATTTTACAAACAGCAGAGAATATGAAGTTTAACCGTTTTCAGACTGAGTATCTCCATATAATATATTGTTACACCTACACCAATTGTTATGAAACGGATAGGCAAAGAAGTTCCCGCGAAGACAGATTCTTGGTAAACAGTCCGTTGTTACGTCACGCAACAGTAGGACGAATGTTTATAGCTCGTTGTTGGGCAACACTCAGCGCGCCAATGGACTGGCGAGATAAATATCACGTGACTTGTCCACAGGCCAAGAAACTGCGGTTCATGTCCACTCTCATAACATTCTACTTTTAAAGCATGTGAAATTGACAGAATCTTTAAATAAAATTAAAATAACATAGCGATAAATTTATCACGTTACCCCCTGGCGCTATCACATAGTTCTACAAGCCGACTGTTTATAAGGATCATAGGAAAACTGAAAAAGAAAATAGTTTGGGCAAAGTCTTATGTTTGTCATGTCAGCGCGAACAAAACTAAACAAAAAATTTCGATATGCCAGTCGTCATCATCATCATCATCATCATCATCATCATCATCATCATCATCATCACAACCTTCATCATTATCATCATCGTCATTGTCGTCATCAACGACAGCTGCTTTAGATACACACAGTATTACGTATATTGGAAGGAGTGTTTGCTCGTTGAAGCTTCAAACGAAAGTAACACTTGATTCTGATAATTGTATTTTGTTTATAAATTAAATATTTAATTGTAAGAAATACTTAACGCCAACACAAAAACACATACAGATGAGGTTACAATAATGACTTTGCCTCCCGGCCAGAGATATGTACAGTCATTTATAAGTTTCGATTTCTTATTATCATTTTTAACGTTTTATTAATTTGGACCGTGTCATCGCCGTCTCAAGCCTTTTGTTTTAAAATGGCAATACGCGTACTGTGTAAGTCTGCACGTATATAAACACGAATTTCATTGAACTGAATTTAACTGAATTATTGTTATTCATAAATATTTATACTTTACATTTCTCAGTTCTCAAAAACGACTTAGATTTGTGTTAATGAAATTATTATTATTACTTTGCTTGTTTTTGTTTTTGTTTACTTCTCTGCATTAGTTTTTATCCTCCAGTGCTTGCCTGCAATTTGTCTTGGACTTTATGTTGTGTTTGCCCATAATGTAATTACCTGTATCTACACTGTGCTCTGTCCGTAATTGGCCTTGTGGCTGTTGTCTCGGCACATAAATAACGCAGAATTTAATTGAATTACTGTAGCCTATTATAGGCCACTAGCTGTTGGCAAGCACCTAAATAAAACAATTTAACTAATTATGAAAATGTTGTTTTGTTTTAGAATTTAGTCTGCAGTATTTAATTCGTAGTATAGATTTTAGTTTTGCACTCATTTGTAGAGCCGATCACAGTGGCCGCGCGGACTAAGGCATGAACCGTCTTCGCCCACTCGAACACTGGGTTCGTCGGTTCGAATCCCACTCGACGCATGGATGTCTGTGTACATTTATTGTATTTGTGTTCTGTGTGTATGTAGCTGACTTGCGACGGGCTGATCCCCAGTCCAAGGAGTCCTACCGACTGTGTATAGGACTAGGAAACTGCAAAAGCGACCTGGGCCCAAAGGGCTGCAGGGCCAGAGAGAGTACAAAAGATACAGTTATAGTGCTGGTCTGCTGGTTCTCGTGTGTTGCCCGACAGTCCCCCGTTTCTCCCGTGAGTTCTGTAACCCAGCAATTTCAAGCGAGCCAGCTCACAGGATGCTGAGGGACGCAACCGGAGACAGCATCGAGATGACTCATACTCATTTCGTCTTCTGCTTCATGCAACAAGTTTCTGGCTAGCTGGACTGCTGTGTGGATAGGCTCTTACAAGGTTGGGAATATCCGTTGTCTCGCACTTGGTTAGAACTGTTCACATCCCAAAAATTTATATGCTTTCCTATTGATTTACCCTTGCCTC